GATGGTTTGTTTATCTCTCTCTCTTTTTTTAAAAAGAAAAATATTTTGGAAAATGTATATTTCAAAAATGTTTAGAAAATGTGTGTGTGTGTGTGTGTGTGTGTGTATATATATATATATATATATATATTAGGTTTAAAAAAAAACGAAAGCTCGGCTCGGCTTGCCGAGCACCCACGAGAGGCGAGCTCGGGCACGAGCCAAGCTCGCCCATGTGGGCACGAGCTCAGCTCGTCGTGGACGAGCCACGAGCTCAGCTCGTGTTCATGTGGGTAAGGGCCAAGCTGGCTCCAATTTTTTTTGAATTAAATCGTTCGTCCTGTGTGATACAATTACAATCTCTGACTTGAAATGGTATATCTATGCTAATATTGGTACATTTCTTGAGAAAGTTTTATTGCGGTTTGTATTTTGTATTCAATTATGAGATTTGATGCATGAACCACATACACTTTATTGTAGTTTGTTTGATTCTTATTGGTGCTAATGTTTTGTACGTCAATTGATCTGATAATTTGAAAAAACTAATCTACTGTAGTTGCCCTACCGTTTTTTCGATTTTTATTTTGACCATGACACGTACAATTAGTGGTGTTTTTGCTAAACATAAATTTGAACTAAAAAAAAATTAAGAAAATCATTGGATTAAGTTATGTTGTCCGGTCTAAAATATGTTTAGGTGGTCCATACTCATCAAATGTAAATATGTAATAATTCCTGCGTTATGAATGGTTCAGAAGTACAACATATTTAATATTCCAACTTTTAGGAGTACAATAAAAAGCAGTTTCCTTATGAACTGAAGTGTACCAATTCAAATCTTCATCTTCGTGTATTTCGGCTAGAGGTATATTCATATTTGGGATTTTGAATTTCAATTCGATTTCAGTGCATGGATCATGTACACGTGCAATTAGTGGGGTTGTTGCTAAACGTGAATTTGAGCTAGAGTGATATTTTTGAGCACCATTAGTAAAAGTGAGAATTTTTGGTGCATTTTCAAATATTGTGACATCTATGAAAATATCCCTATAAATAATTTCTATATTAATTAATAGTTTACTGGTCCACCAGAAAAATTAAATTTGTATACAAATGTCCTAATCTTACTTCTTAAAAACGTGGGACTCACCACAGGTTCCCAATGTGCGGCAGACCATTCTTCACCTTACCTGTATATTCTTATTGAAAAAAATTAACATTTTTTTTTTTTGTGGAAATTTGTTTTGTAGAAGATATAAATTATTATTTTTTTTCTCTAAAAACCTCTATTCTATGAGAAAACTGAAACTTTTGAATTAATTGTGCCAAATAATTTAAAGAATCAAATTTTCTTATTTTCCTACAAAAATTTAAAGATTTTTGATAATATTTCAGTTTGAAAAACTCTACGACTAAAATTCGACTCAACAGACGTTAATATAAAATTCTAAGACAAATTTTATCTCTAGCATATATTTATAAGACAGAAAAAAATAAATAGAAAAGAAAGAAACGTAGGAGAGAGGTCTAAAATTTGCTAACTCATTTCTTCTATTAGAGACTCTATATCTAGATGATCATATTTACAATATCTATTTTTTCTTGCCACGTTGCTAGTCATTGAAATTGTATTTAAGAGGAATTTATGTAGAAATTTTATTTTTCTTATGTGGCAAAAGGTTTTTTACAATCCACAATAGATGATCTTACGAATGAGTTGGAAGATTGGAGATAAATTTCAAGAAACATTGAAGACTTATTTCATATTCGATATAAATCCTAGGCTTAATTATTTTTGATATAAAGGAAATCATTATGAACGACTTTACCCTTTAATTCTAACGTCATGAGTGTCATGAGATTAATGATCAAATAAAAATGTTTGTTAGGTGAGGACATGAACACAAAATTTTCAAATATTTAGAAAATGAATGTAATAATTGGTGGGACTGGAACCAGTGTTCTAAAATGCGCTGCCTAAGCGCAACGCGTGTAGAAAACGCGTCAAATTGGGCAATGCGCGTAAAAATGCGGTCAACGGTTTTTGTTGACCGCCTAGGGGCGCATAGGCACGCCTAGGCGTCTCAATGTATGCATCAGGCGAGCCTATGCGCGTAAATGCCACTGACCGTAAATGCCACAATGTGAAGACATTATCTATATCAATGCACGTGCTAAACATTTTCTTGGAGGGTTCCATACAATGAAATGCACCACACAAATACTAATGGCCGGCATAATTCTGTACAAGCATTTTCACGTGGAAAATATTGGAGCAGGAACTACCATGCATGCGTTGCACCCTATATAAATCCCATAATCAATTCTTAATTTTATCAAACAAACGTCTTCTAATTAATAAGCATAGCTCTTTGTCTAAAAATACATCTCTCTCTGCCATGGCAGTCTCCAAGAGCTCCTCGTCTTTACCCAGCCATTGTTTTAATGGAGATATTAGACCATCTCTTGTTCCGAGCGGAGCTACTCCTCAGAAGTGGACCATTCTTGAAGAAACTTCTGACATCTCTAAACCCCGTCAAACCATTCTGAATGGGCAAAGTTTTAAGGTTATTCATGTTCTAAAACTATTATTTATTTTATATATATTTTACGTGTCTATGCATATTCACGCAAAGCAAAATCCAATCTTGCTTGCAGGATGAATTTTCCATGGAATATGAACAAAAGCTGAAGGATGTCAGGGAATTATTGAAATCAGAGGAATTAGAAAATCAAATAGAAAGCTTAATGTTGGTGGATGCTATCCAGCGACTAGGTGTTGACTACCATTTTCAGGAAGAGATTGAAGCAGTTCTTCAGCGACATTATATGGAAGCCACCACTTCTTTTGATGGATACTCCTATTACTGTCTTCATGATCTTTCACTTTTCTTCAGACTCTTGAGAGAACATGGTTTTTTCATTCACGCAGGTTGAAATTTTTTTTCTTTGTTTTGTGCTTGTTTTTGATAATTACAACTCGTTTGTTACCAATAACCATTTTAATTGCATGCCACAGACATATTCAACAAATTCAAGGGAAAAGATGGGGTGTTTGAAGGGAAATTAAAGGAAGATATTAGAGGATTGATGGAATTGTATGAAGCTGCTCAGCTAGTGACAGAAGGAGAAGATATTCTTGATGAAGCAGCAAAATTTAGTAGCCAAATTGTTAGTAACAGAATAAAGCATCCTTATCACAAGAGCATTGCAAGATTTACTGCGAAGAAGTATATTAGAGATTTCCAACACATAAATGGATGGGGAAAAACATTGAAAGAGCTCGCAAAAATGGATATTTCCATGGCACAGACCGTGAACCAACAAGAACTGATCCAAATTTCCAAGTAAGAAGACATAACACGTTTGAAATTTTCTCGACTATTTTGAGGAAAACTGAAAAGGGAATCTTTTGTAATTTTAGGTGGTGGAAAGACCTTGGCTTGGCTCAGCAATTTAAGCAGGCTAGGAACCAACCGTTAAAATGG